ATACAAAGATGCGTTTGCGCGCGTCTGAGGCTTCAGCGGCGCGGTAAGCGCGAATTGAGCGGCGTAGTTGCCGCGATAGGGGCGTATTGAGCCGCATGAATGGGCGATACGCGTGTTGTGATCTGCACGCAGGAGGCGGATCGGCCGTAGACGGGTGAACCGCACGCGTACCGCTCGAGTTCAGAAAATTTAACTTGGGCAGATTTTCCACGCCGCGCTGACCAATCAGGAGCTTGCTGTAGTTGTGACGTATTTAAAGCACCGATGCGGAGCGAAATTCAAGTCAGCCAAAATGGAGGAAAAGTTAATTGTATCCGTATGCGCGTCCCCTGAGTTATATGACACATCTTATTTTTTCTATAGGGACAGGAATAGGAAGGATCTCGCTTGGAAGAAAGTGAGTTTAGAAGTAGGCATGTCTGGTAAGTTGCAATAAACCATTGTTAAGAAATGTTAACGAAATGTAATGGAAATGTATGAAACGTTCCTTTAGACATTTAACGAGATAAGCTACTTTCTTGCCTGATGAACTAATATTTTTCTTCAGAGGATCAGTGCAGGAAAAAGTGGAAGTGTCTGAGGGACACTTATTCAAAGGAGAGGAGAAAGTCTTTGACGGCTAGGAGTGGGTCAGCAGCAGGGTCTGGGAAAAAGTGGAAGTACTCTGCGGTCCTGTCTTTCCTGGACCCCTTCGTCAACCCCCGGGAGACAAGTGGGAACATGGAGAGTAGCCAGCAAAAACGGGGCGCAGGGTATGACCTGCCAGAGGACCAGGGTGACTCAGAAACAGTAACAGGGCAATCAGACACAGGTTTGTTAAGTGATGAAGACAGTGAATAATTTTGTCCTCTATGATGTGTTGTTGCTGTAATCATTTTATATCATGATGACAGATCTAGCTTCTGAGGTGGGGTCACATCTGGAGGAGGCTGCATCTGCTGCTTGTAGTCGCTCTGAAGTTCCTTCAGTCTCTGCTGCTGGACCCAGAGGTATGCATATGATCACACAATACATGACCACCTTTGTTTAGGATTCTGTTTATTGTACAGAATTTTTTTGCCTTATTTTTAATGACAATTTTTTAAAATGTAACATAGAAATAATATTTAACAATTTTTATTTGTGCCAACCAATAATGTTTAGTTAATTAAATAAAACAACTGCGGTACACGGTGAATACTTTTACATTACATGTTCAACTACAATTATAACTTTGTGTTGTATATTTTTGTAATTTCTACAATGGCACAGAGCTAGCTAATGTACACATTTTCAGTATTGATTGATCAATTACTTTATACGATAAACTATGCTGTTTTTTTTTCATGGAAAAGTGTGTGCCAACACACAGCAGGATTTTCTGGTGGTACAAGGCAGTACTCTAGTACAAACACATTAAACAGCAACCAAACTCCATATAATGTACTGTGATACAAACGTCAAACAAATAGTACGGAAAATATATCAGCATGTATGTGCAGGCGAAGCGTCGGCTTCGGTCCTGGGGTTCACAGGTGGAGCTAGCAGAGGGCGCAGGGACGGGCTTTGCCTTATCGCCGGCCTCACCTGCTAGCTCCGATCCATTGTCGTCGGGAGCGGAAGCGCGCCTGCCGGTGATTTCTTCCCCCCACGCTATGGATGAGGGACTGCTTATGTCTTCCTCCAAGGAGGATGATGTGGAGCCTGTCCCTCACGTGGTAGCCGCTGCACTTGAGCCGACGCAGCCGCTACAATTTGAGGAGCTGTTGGAGGTGGTGACTCGGGCGGTCGAGAAACTCGATATATCTTGGCCTATATATGTTTCCGCTATCCCTGCCACCGCTAGGGCTTCAGTGCAGGTTCAAATCGGGTCCTCCGAGGAGTCCCGCACCCCTATCAGGAGCCGATACCCGTCGAGCACCAGAGACCAACCTCGAGAGGTTGGTTCCCCTGAGTCACTTCGCAGAGGCTTGGTCCAGCCTCCCGGGCGTCTCCCAGTGGCTCTTGCGGGTTGTGACTCGGGGTCACAGAATCCAATTTCGGTCCAGGGCCCCCCCGGTTCACCGGGGTTCTGCCTACCAATACTCCAGATCCCTCCCAAGCTCTGGCCATGGACCAGGAAATACGCACCCTACTTCACAAAGGAGCCATCGAGGTGGTTCCCACGCACGAAAGCCAGTCGGGGTTTTACAACCGGTATTTCTTGGTCCAAAAGAAGGACGGGGGCATGCGCCCCATTCTCGATCTGCGGCTCTTGAACCGTCGCACCATGAGGTTGCTGTTCACTATCAAGCAGGTTGTGGCGCAGATAAGGTAGGGCGATTGGTTCGTTTCCATCGATCTCAAGGACGCCTACTTTCATGTCCCTATATGCCCTTCTCACAGGAAGTTTCTTCGGTTCGCCGTAGGGGGCACGGCTTTTCAGTTCCGAGTACTTCCTTTCGGCCTATTGCTCTCACCAAGGACCTTCACCAAATGTGTGGATGCGGACCTGGCTCCCTTGAGACTACAGGGCATCCGCATCCTCAATTATATAGACGATTGGTGGGTTCTGGCTCGTTCAGAGCTGGAAGCAGTTCAACATCGAGATGTTGCTCTCGCTCACATGGAGGTCCTGGGTTTTCGACTGAACCCCCGCAAGAGCGTGCTTTCCCCGGCTCAGAAGTCCACCTTTTTGGGCATCATATGGGATTCCACCTCCATGCGAGCACGCCTGTCTCAGGCTCGGATCTCTACAATCCTGGAGACAGTCAGGAGGGCGAGACTGGGCCACCCACTGACAGTTCGGCAGTTCCAGCGGCTGCTTGGCCTCATGGCATCCGCGTCCACAATAATTCCGCTCGGACTCCTTCATATGAGGGCCCTTCAGTGGTGGCTGAGGAGTACGGGGTTCTCTCCCCGGGGCAATCCGCTCCGGCTTATCAAGGTCACGCGGCGGGCTCTTCGTGCCTTGGCCCCTTGGAGAAACCCTGCGTTCCTGTCCCAGGGTCCTGTGCTGGGGATACCGTGCCGTCGGGTGACTATCACCACGGACGCGTCTAGCACGGGGTGGGGGGCGGTGCTCGGGAACCACCCTGCCCACGGTCAGTGGGATCAGCCCCTGCTCTCATGGCATATCAATTGCCTGGCGTTGCTGGCCGTGTTTCGTTCTCTGCTGCACTTCCTACCCGACATCAGGGGCCGCCACGTGCTGATTCGCACAGACAATATGTCCGTGGTGGCCTACATCAACCGGCAAGGGGGTTTGCGCTCGCGGCGCCTTTACAATTTACCCCGTCGCATCCTCCTGTGGACCCAGGACAAGCTCTGCTCCCTTCGAGCATCTCACGTTACGGGGCTGTTGAACGTGGAGGCAGATGCTCTGTCGTGCCTGGGACCGACGCCAGGGGAGTGGCGTCTCCTCCCGGAGGTGGTGGAGTTGATATGGGAGAAGTATGGGATCTTTTTGCAACCCGGGAGTCCTCGCATTGTCCCCTCTGGCTCTCTCTCAATCCTCCTTCTCCTCTAGGGCTGGATGCCATGGCGCAGGAGTGGCCGAGGCTTCCCCTGTACGCCTTTCCCCCTGTAGCACTGCTTCCAGGAGTCCTGGAGAGAGTACGTCAGGATGGCGTTCGCCTCCTCCTGGTGGCGCCCCGATGGCCAGGTCAGCCGTGGTTCACGGACCTACTGACCTCTCTCGTTCCCTCAGGGAACCTTGGTTACATACGTAACCTGAGACGTTTTCACTGCAGCTTTGAGGGTTCAATCGAAGAGTTTAAATGTTTTCTTTTGGAATCAAGATGTTCTAAGGTGTGTACCTGGATCAGTAAATAAAAATGACAGACCAGCCAAAGTGGTCCATGCTGATGGCCATGTTCATTTTGTGTCCCTCTCGGACACTGCATGATGCGGAGGAGTTCTTCTTGGCTTGCATGTTGATCTGCATGCCTGACTGGCGAATCAGATTCGAACCAGGCATATTCACATCCAGGTCAAACACTCCTCCGAGCCCCAACATGAGCTTGTGGAGACCGGCCGGGCTCAGGTCTCCATTGTTGCTAGTGCTGGAGGAGATGTGGCAGCTTACTTCAGAGCTCTTGGTCTCCTCCATGTGAGATTCGAAGAAGGACTTGGCACTCAGAGTCGCTGCCACGGGAGTGAGGTGTGGAAACATCTAACAGAAAACAAAGCCAATCAGTTTAAAAAGTATACATCTGATGATGAAAGTCTCATTGCTTTTCTATGTTGTGGAAACATCTGCTATTTACCTGATTTTCAAATAATTAATTGCTGTTACAAAAAGCTCATTTGAGAAGCTACAACCCTCCCAAACGATGAGTAATGCACTGGATTTAGCTTTTTTCACAAACCTTTTACAGCACTAGCAAAATATTACAATCATTTTGCAGAAGTTATAGAAATATGACATTTTTTTTCTGCAAATATTACAGTAGTCCTGCTAATACTATGGATTTCCTGCAGAACATTGCAGTAGTCCTTCTGATATTATATTAGTACTACAAATATTATAATATTTATATAATAATAATTTATATAATATAGCACTAAGAATATTACAATAGTCCGTTAAATAATACTCTAGCACATCAGGTGCTTTCCTGTAAATATTTGCCAAGAAAGTGACTGAGAAGGATCGAGTAATAATATTTATTAACCGAAGTACAACAGAAGCACCGTCTTCTGGGTGTCTGGAAGATTTGTCCAAAAATAACTATAACACAAGAGAAGAGCAAACTGAACTGAGTGTCTCTAGTACAAGTGAAAGTGAAGTGAAAGTGACGTTATGACCAAGTATGGAGTGACCCATACAAGGAATTTGTGCTCTGCATTTAACCCATCCAAGTGCACACACACAGCAGTGTGGCAGCACACACCGGGGGCAGTGGGCAGCCGGGCAGCCATGGCTGTGGCGCCCGGGGAGCTGTGGTAACTGGTGACTTGCTCAAGGACACTCAAGGTCACCACAGTCATGGTTGTCTCAGGAGGGAGAGAGTTTCAACACTCATCGCACCTTCGACTCCTAGTTGAGCTGGGGATCGAACCAGCGACCTTTTGATCCCCAGCCAATCACCCTATCCACTAGGCCACGACTGCCATTAGAGAGAACTAATACGCCAGTAAGGAAACATGGAAAGGAGGAAATAAATAGGAACAAACGAGGGGCAGCTGAGAGGTGAAAACGATCAGAGGGGAAACAGGTGTGACAATATTACAGCAGTTTTGCACATATTACAGTAGTTCTTCAAGTAATATATTATATATTAAGTAATATATTATATTTTTTTTGCTTATAATACAGTAGTTCTTAAAATATAGTAAGGATTGTTTAACCTTTTAAGAACTGCCATCAGTTCAAGTCTGCCAGAGCATATTTTACATTTTTACGTGCTGTAGTGCCATTTTTTGGGGGAGTATTTTAATTTGCCACACATCAATACAACCCTTATATCCTAGATTTTAATAATATTAATAGAGTTAGTTCAATATTAACTGAAGAAAATGCCATAACTACAAAAGAACATATCTCCATATATTTTTTCTAAAGTCACGTCATAGCTTTATCCCTCAAGATTAACATAAAAACGTTGCACAAAATGCTTTTAAAACCAAAGTAACTTTATTCTGAATGAATTCATTGCATAGTTTTTGAGATACACTCAAATTTATAAAACAAGACAAAAAGCTAAAAAACGTGCAGATTTTGTATAAAACATTCCTTGAACATCACAATAAACTATTTATAACTCTGCTCAGCAGCTGTGTGTGAAGAGTTCTGTGATCAGTGTTAAAAAAAGAAGCATCTAGCAACAGACTCAAGGTGTCTTCTGCTGGTTTCTCTGTGAAATTCTCTTTAGTCTTTAAATTAAAATTTTCTTCATTTAAGAAATGTCTTTTCTGTGTGTTCTTGGAGGCATTCTGTGAAATCATAAAAAGACAAGTTAAAAGACAAATGGAAAGAGACAAGAAATGAATCTTTGATTAAAAATCAAATCAGTTTATAAAAGTCTACTTTGAACAAGTTTTTACGAACAATTTTCTTTTTAACTTTCATCAATAGCTAAACACAGTAAAGGAAAACAATGACCTGTTTGTTCCTCCGTTTTTTCTTCTTTAAATATGTAAGGGTCTTCCCTAACATCACAGTTTTTTTTCTTGTCATTCATGATGGTTCACTTTTCCACTAAAAAAACAGACAGGAAACAGCTATGATTGACAGCTACACAGAACAGAGCTGAGTTACCGCTGACATCGCGTAGTGAGAAAAACTATTTACGCCGCCAACAATCAAATTCAGAGAAGTCGTTCTCAAAATCTTGTTTATAACTACAGAATAAATTAGATATAACAGACTGTGTGTGAGCCAGACACGAAGCGGAGCTCTAAAACCATGACAGTTCCATCCATAGACTGTAAAAAAATGTATGTACAATGTGACACTGTCTACTGCCATTGGCCTCATATGAGGCTTTTTTCAAGCTGGAGAGGGGGCTGCCATTGACAGGTACATATGCACACACAGACTTCCTGATGAGCCAGCTTTGTTTCTCCTGTGTGAATGCATAAAAATCTATAAATCACCCAAGATTCATAAATAATAGGGGTGTAACGGTACGCTAAAATCGTATTCGGTTCGGTACAGTGTCTTGGAGAGCTCGGTTCGGTTAATTTTCTGTACAAAACAATAAGAGCTCACAAAATCTGTATTTTGAAAAGCTGCCAATACACAATAGAATTCTTGCATAAAATATATAAAAGTGACACATTTAGGTGATATTTTAAATAAATTGCACTCTTTATAAAGAAATACACATTTTTAAAATAAAAAATGAAATACTGCAACTAGTTAGGACCTGAAAACTTTTAACACTAGCAACAGCTTCAGCTTATATATCAACAAAACTAACTATTCAAGTTTTAGGCTAAAAAGATTAACCTATCCACATTTTCTGAAGAGAGCACAGATCTGGTTGCAGTCACAATATCTCCAGCAGTAGAAAATGTTAGATGTGTTGCCTGCCACATACCCGATCTCCGTGGAACAATGTCGGCATACAACTTTAAATTTATCCACTCGTCTATCCCCGTTATGTATTCTAACAGAGAAGCCAAAGTGTTCCCAAACAGGAGACCGTAGTGAGGTGGGAGGGTCTTCAAGCTCTGGATTCTCTTTCGCTGTTGCCATTTCTCACAGTCAGCTAATCGTGCAGCTCTACTGTGCGTCACTCAATAGCGTCCGTGCGGAAACTCGCTTAAGAACATTGTTCCGCTGAGCTTAATATCGCGCTAATCATAAATTTATATTATTTAATGAAAAAAAATATCCAGAAACGGTATGCAAGTGTACCGAACCGAACAGGCCGCACCGAAACGCTTCAATACATCCTTGTGAACCGTTACACCCCTAATAAATAACATCAACCCCACAGCAATAGAGTTTTTATTGTGCTGTTCCTGGATGAACCTCCATGTGTCTTTTAAGATTAAAATATTGTGTAAACTTTTTCCCTCATGTACAACATGAAAATGGTTTCTCTCCAGTGTGAATCCTCTCATGAGATTTAAGATGAGATGGCTGAGAGAAACTCTTCTCACAGTGTGAACATTTGTATGGTTTCTCTCCAGTGTGAATCATCTCATGAGATTTAAGATGAGATGGCTGAGAGAAACTCTTCTCGCAGTGGGAACATTTGTACGGTTTCTTTCCAGTGTGAATCCTCTCATGAGATTTGAGAGAAGATGAGTCGGAGAAACTCTTCTCACAATGTGAACATTTGTACGGTTTCTCTTTCTCTACAGTGTGAATCCTCTCATGAGATTTAAGATTAGATTGCTGAGAGAAACTCTTCTCACAATGTGAACATTTGTATGGTTTCTCTCCAGTGTGAATCCTCTCGTGATATTTAAGATGAGATGGCCAAGAGAAACTCTTCTCACAGTGTGAACATTTGTATAATTTCTCTTCGGTGTGAATCCTCTCATGGGATTTAAGAGTAGATGGCTGAGAGAAACTCTTCTCACAGTGTGAACATTTGTAGGGTTTCTCTCCAGTGTGAATCCTCTCATGAGATTTGAGAGAAGATGAGTCGGAGAAACTATTCTCACAGTGTGAACATTTGTATGATTTCTCTCCAGTGTGAATCCTCTCGTGATATTTAAGATGAGATGGCTGAGAGAAACTCTTCTCACAGTGTGAACATTTGTATGGTTTCTCTCCAGTGTGAATCATCTCATGATATTTAAGATAAGATGAATAAGAGAAACTCTTC